ACCTATTTGAAAATTTTCAGAAACTCAGCTAACAACACTGTGACATCGCAAGTAGGGTAAAGTAGCCTAATATGAGACCGTTCCTAATACGAGACCCCAGCATATCTCCGTTTTGTTTCGTAATTAACCGCGTTAATTATCAAATTAAATATGAAATTTGATTGAAATCAATCAAGCGTCTTCGACAAGCATGTTTGTGCAATACGTTGCAGAAAGTTTTTCAAGTGGTTCGATTAAATTACAAATACCTCGAAAATAGTAAGTTTATAATCATTTTCATAAATACTGTCGTATAGTGCATGCAACGGAGTTTAAGGCTTACTAGTTACGTATCGTTAAATAACGAAGACTTAATCTCGAAGCTACTTAATAGTTATCGTGTTATTGTTTCCGAATATGAGAAGTTCCTATTATAAGAAGAGTCTCATATTAGGTACCCAATTTTGTTTTAGCGTACAAAGTGTTACCGGTGAGACCGCCAAACCTGCAATGCTGAAGAAACAGATTTAATATGCCCAATGTGTGAAAAAAGACAGAAAAAATAGTTTTCTCATATTAGGAACCCATTTTTTAAATCTGTATATCTGCATAATTTTCCTTTTTTATTTTTTTTTTATTTTATTACGAAGGAACCGAATTTTCTTTACAGTACATTCCAATACCTTACAAAAGAATACATATCGTACTTTTAAAACATGTATCGAATTTTAATAAAAGTGTTCTTAGCCGACAGCTATGACATCTTTAAGAAATGGGTCTCATATTAGGCAACTTTACCCTATTAGAGTAATCTTGTAATCAGAGAAGGATTTAAAAAAAAAAAGGGGGATTTCAAAGAAGAATTTTTTGAATAAAAAGGGATTTCAAAGAAGAATTTTTCGAATAAAAAGGACTTTCACAGGGGATTTGAAAAATGATCGTATTGCAAAGTGGTGTATTGATATTTTCCGTAGCAGCAAGTGTAGCATATGTTGGCAAATTCTATAAATCCCCATCTAATCCCATTTAAAGCGATGATCATGTATAATGCAGCGAGTTCGTCTGTTGCGACACAGAGTCATCCAGAGACATGATTAATAGCTTCCACGTTTCCCTATAGTCTTCTCTACTCTCGCCACTCCCACAAGAGAATTACATTTTCGATCAGTCGTACCACGAATTTCTACAAAACTTTCCTTTCATCCAGAAGTCACGAAAACAGTTTCTCTTACGAACGACGACTCTCCCTCCCTCTCATCATCTTCCAACTTCTGCCGTCCGAAGCTTTTTCGGTGTAGAGATTTTTTCTGCAACAAATCCAAAGGTCGCGGAATTAATTTAGTCGCGAGACTGGGCAGAGGACGACCCTCCACGTCAAAGTGTCGTCGTTATCAACGTCCTGTTCACCTCTCAGCTGACATACCATAAATCGCGGATCGACGTGCTGCCGCAAAAAAATCACACCGGTGCGAGAGAGACCGTGGCTGTCCTCTCCTGCAATCTCTAGGAAAATGAACGCCATAAATAAGCACGGTCGGCCAATAATTCCGTCGCGATCGAGCAACAAGAGTTTTTCATCGGTGCAGGCAGAAAGGGGTGGTGGACTCGGATGAAAGTAGCGATGGAAGCGACTCGGTGTTTCGTTCAATTCCCAAATTCTTTTCACACAGGTTGGTGCTCTTCTTGTCGGTGTTTTGTGCAGAATTTTCGCTAGGAGTACCTATCGAAAACGATACAATATTAAAACAGACGTAATTTCCAATTTTACGAAGGTTCAATTCAATTTCGATAAAAATTAAATAAAACAAGATCATTGTTACAATTCGTTGAATACACTTAGTTTTAGTCGCAAAATCGTGCAAGTTATTTCACGAATAAAACTAAAGTTTACACTCCTAAAGTTAACACTGTAATTCGTAAATTTAATTCCTAAACTTAACACTGGATAATAAATAATATTTTGTTTAAGTAAGTACCAAACTTTACTTAGTCACGCGTATCAGAATCACACAATTTAATCGTATCGCTAAAGGAGTAATTTTACACCCGCACTGTACTGTTTTATCTCTCTAATTTGTTACATGTGTAATAGAAAAAAATGATCGTCGTTACGTTAACGTCTGTTACAAATAATGTTCCGTATTTCTATGAACGTGAAAAAGTAAAAGAGACATGAGCGTGTTGATGCCATCGCTAGAGGCAAGGGCAAAAGCACGATTGTAGAGGAGGTAGAGGAGACGGTGGCGCTGGTGGGAGGGTAGTACGACGCGTTTTGTAATCAAATCTAAAATTCCCAGCGCGGAGGAACCCGATGAAAGAGTAACCAACGGACACAATCGAATCGGGCTACGAGCTTGTCACCTGACTTCAAATAAGCGACCACTGTCCTCCGTCCTCTCTACGCGCTGTTATCTGCACACCTTTAGCCTTCTTTCCGCCCCGGCTAGACCTCAGATTTCCCTTGAGATTGAAAAACCGAGCTCACCCCTTTTCACGTGAAAAAACAGTTCGAACGATCTTCAACCTCCTAAACTCTGGAATCTGTGGCAATATTTGTTACTCTTTTTTGTCCATTGACGAGAAACAATGTTATTTACAAAATTCACGAGGTTTCTTTTGTCCCGCGCGATGTTGTATTTCCTAAGCTTTTACATTATTTTGGTAATTGTGTTGGAAGATAATTTAGAGGATTGAAATGTACTTATACATTATGTATTTAGGTGTACACGTTTTTATATTCTTTTCGGTTCGTTGCGCTAGAATGGTACAGGCAACGCCATCTGTTGGCTATTCGTGTTTCTCATTTCAAAAAACACGAATGTCTTTGAAACGACGTGAATTTTATGATCGACTAATGTTATATATAAAAGTTAATAAAACAAATTTTATATTCTTATTTCAATTCTACATGCTGTCCTAGATGGTATTGTTTAATTCACTCGCTTATACTAAGTACTTTAATTTAGATACAATTAATTGTACATAAGGAAACGAAATTGTTTCGAATTAAAATTAATTTGCTGTGCAAAAGTAGCTTTGCGGATTCTGTGCTACTGAAAAATAATAACTTTGTACCTAACATTGTACAAAACTTTCGAAACATATAATAAGGAATTTGTTGTTCTTTTATATTTTAAAATATTAATTTTATACATTTCATACAATTTCGTACAATTTCAGAGTATAAATTTATTTTAATAAAGACCATTTGAGTTGCTCCTTTGCAGATTGCAAAACCTAGAACAAAAATAAAACAGTTAATGATACAAATGAAAACTATATGTAAAACTGTTCATAATTCTGCCTTCTAGAATCACAAAAACTTACAATCAGAGACTGTGCGAAGAATGTAGAATGATGCATGAACACAAAATAAAAAAATCGAAAATGTTTCTATGTAAATGGACATAAACTTTGTTATGCCATTAAGTCAATCAAAGGTTATACTTAATACTAATTATTACCTGTGCAACTGTTTGTTCTCCAAGTGGAATATCGTCAGTTCTCAGTGCTACTCTTTGAACAACACTTGAAGGATCAGCATCAAGGATAATCCTAAAAATCATCATAATGCAAACTTTCATTATTCTTCTCGCCAATGTTGATACATACTTAACACATTTAGAAATGTTTATTTACCCTCCATCGCAGATTTCATCCATTGCTAACATGACTATATCTAAGCTATCTAAAACAGCTCTTTTTTCAACATTTTTTCTTAAAATCTGACTCACTGAATCATATAAACAATTTAATACACTCATTAAGATAAGCTAAAACAAAAAATTTAAAAAAAAATATTAAAGAACAAAAATATTTCTTGCCACTGATACAACTAACTAAGCATTTGACACTTGTGTATACCTCATTTTCATGAGAACTTCCCATGACATAAAAGAATAAATCCACATTGCTCCTATAAACACATGTCAAGCCATCCAGCATAATAATTTCAGCATTTGCTCTATGTGTTTTGTTGAAGAGATTCTTTTCAAATGTTTTCTGTTCCTTTGATGTAGGAAAAACATTTTTGTCGTAATATTTAGCTAATATCCTGTTGCCATCATTGTCCAAAATGGCCATACCCTTCACCGTATAGAGTGTTGGTTCCTACAGTTACATATAATTTATGTTAAAACAAATTCATTAAAAATTCATTTTCCCATGTATGCACCCATGTAGCACTCAAATACAATTTTTTAATAACCACACATGCTACAATGATTTGAAAGAGGTTAGGAAACACTTTCATTTAATTGTTTAAATAAACGATATAAATGGGAACAGATATGGAAAGCAAACTTAAAATCAATAGAAATCATACGCGTTGTTGAAAATCGCGATCCTGGTCACTCTGAAGCATTGGAGAAAGGTTATGTTGCACGAGTTTCGATGATCCACCACGATTCATGATTACGATTGCACGAGACAATACTTACATCAAGAACATATTATTAAGTGGCGTTCTTTACCATGAAATCTATATAAAAAAACCTAAGGCATACAAGTAAAAAACCTACCAATAGCTGACCATCCATGTTTACGTCAAACTTGACGCGTCAATGTCCACACTACTACGCGAATCGAACTGTTATCTGCGCGAGAATTAATTCGATTGTACGATAGATCGAAATGATTACTATACAATTTTTAACTTTCGAAAAATTGTGCTTACTAATTGTGTTTTTTCTTTATTGCAAATTTAATTTTTATCAATAAACTATTATACACAAGCAATTAAATACACGTGGCAATGTATTTAAATTTATTATTTATAATCGTTGTGTTTACAATATATTATTCTATAAAAATTTGTTATA